CCTTCACTTATTCCAGATCCATTAAGGGTATCTCGAAGAGTTATCTTTACCGGTGGACCTAATAGAATGGTTTCAACTAATACATTAAATTTAACAGATCTTATTTCTGCAATAGAGTATCATCAGAATTTACTGATTCAGAACAAATTAATTTATTAAATAGTCTTGCTTGAGCCATTGATCAAGGATTACATTGATCATGGCAAGGACTTTAGGCAGATAATTAATTATCCGAACATCAAAAAGTCAACTGCCGTCTCAGACCAGGATTTTTAGGGCCAACTATGTATAGCGATAAAATTCTCAAGCATATTGGTGGGAAAATCACTAGACGATGTCACAAAGTAAAAAAGAAATTAATTATAACCACGTCACGTTATAATGGGCTGATGTCATGTGTTTTATTTCAAAGAAATGACTCTTCGAGTCTAAATCCGCGAATCAGAGATCAGCATAAAAGTATTTCGGAGAAATGACACCGTATCATAGAACATGCCAATAAAAAGCCCCGATGGGTCATAATCTCATATATTTACATGGAAATCTTTATTTAACCTATGATAATCAATGATATATTTACATCAAGAATCATAATAAATTTCTATTGCTTGATACAGACATTAAGTGACTATAAATTTCGAATTTAAATCCATCATGAAAACATTATTTCCTATACTGCGCCGGTAAGCCTCTTTTGCAGGTTCAAAATCTATGAATTGAGGGATAAATAAACAATTATATACTGTATAAATACAAAATAACCTTGCACATCTATAATATAGACTTACCAAGATGACTCCGCCGATGATTTTTTAATCTTGAGGAATTCCGGGGAGCTAATTTAGGAGGGGAGCATTTCTGCATTTTCTTGTCATGTTTTATAACGCCATTGTCGATTGAGCAAGTGCCATCTAGAATCTTCAGCACATCTAAATCCCCATCGTCAAAAAGAGAAGCAAATTTTCGTTTTTGCTTTATGACGGTGTCGTGTATATAGAAGACAACGCTATGCCTTGACCCAGCCGTTATTGGAAGGTTCCCATGAATTAAGAGATGCGACCGAAAAGCGATTGCCTGTCCTTGCTTCGCCATTACTACCAACTTTAGTTCTGGAAATGCTAGATGCCCACCCCAAACATTCCGAGAGGGCATACAACACAGAGTGTATTACGATGGTCTTTCAGATCTCGATGAAATTGACATATGCTGTTAAAGTTTATACTAATTGTGGGAAAGGCTCCAAAAGATTTAGGAACATTGGAACCGAGATCAAGTTTTTTCATTTTGATGTATAATGCCGGATATGTGTTGTTAAGATAATCGTTCACTGCATCGGAAAGTGGCTGAAGTTCTCGGATCAAATCTTGAACACACGATGCTCCTGAGAATGTGTAGAGGCAGTATTCGAGGTAACATAGGGTCGATTGTTATTATCAGTAAAACAACCGAAATGTTCTATTAAATCTTTGGTAAATTGGTTAGATCGATGAGAAGGTTCACTAAGGTTATGTTTATAATACTGGTCTATCACTCGTGCAGTCCTTATGATCAGGTAGTTGTTGAGGTTGAGGTCGAAGAAATCTATCATCGTTTCACCAATCGCATTTTTAAAACACCAAGGTTTAGAAACGTACTTGTAACCATCTAGATGGACATCACCCGCGACCTTCTTAGTTATTTCATCCGCAATAAAAAGTTTGTCATTCGTATGGCGTAAGAACACATTTGGGATATCATAAAGCTCCATAGGATTTTTTAGGGATTCTATATGCTGTTCGTACGCATGCTTTGTTTTTTTCCACAAGCGCCGGCAATGATGTCGAAATTTTTTAATCTTTTCAAAATCTGCCCACTGTCCGAACCTTTCCCATAATTCCGAAGAGGGTGGATCTAAAGGATCTCTAACATGAAAAATATCAACCTCCAATAACTCTAAATATTTAGCAGGTATCGAAAATTCTTTGTCATTGGTGATTAAATCTATCGAATTTGTTTCGGTAATATGCCTTCGATATTTATCTTCCGAAAGTTTTTCGACAAATGTAGACCTTGGACTAAACAACGTGGACGGTTGCGATGTATAGGTAGATTTAAGATCTTCAGGATTGAAGTCCTCGGAAACCCGATATGACCGGATATATTCGCGGATTTCTTCTTTTTTAAGTACGCGAGTCTCAGCTTGCGTTTTGTGCTAAGAAAAAAAAATATAATTGATACGTGAATATCTAGATATTATATGAATTATGTAGATTTCAAAAAGGATAGGAAGGATAAGAAGGATACACGCAAACCATTTCTCATTCTATAAATAGCTCAGAGGTTTTAGAAAGCGTATCGAATCTTTCTCTCTTTACTAAAGGACAATAATAGTTTGGTAACCCATTCTTAACTTGGAGGCTAGCGTACGCTAAAGGTAAAATATATAACGTGAAGTTTTTTCGCACTTAGGGAGGGAACAGTCGGATCCTAGGCCTGCCTCGAAAGGCAATAACTGCCCCTAATCTTATGTTGAACCATAAAATTATCAACCACTAGATATAACCCGCTAATAGCCAGCTTACTTTTTTGGGTCGTAGAATAAATCCAATCTTTCGTTGTCTAGACCATTGTTAGAATCGGGTGCGGTGTGCTGGTTGTCGTCGGCATCGGGTATGGTGGGTCCCTCATGTCTTGCCTTTTTTATGTGTCGTTGCTCCTTCCTTCGTAGATTCCGTTTTGTGGATTTCGATAGCACCGGTTTATTTCGTTCACTATTTAACGCGTCCATTACTTGCTTAATTCCCCACAACAGATTGTGAAAAACGTGGAATAAAAAAGTTCGGTGTATTAACTAATAGGTGTGGAAATACGAAAGTGACACTACCCAACGAGCCGTTAGAATTATATAATCCTAGAGCCGAGTCTTGCTCAAGAAGAATAGCGTATACTTTGATCGAATATCTGTATACGCAATCGATTTTTGTATCGGCATTTTTCCGGGACAGATTTGTCTCGCAGTCATGTGAACTTCCCAACCAGTAAGAAGGCTAGGATCACATGTACTGAGTTCTGAAGGCCATGTAACACAAGTAATATCACGAGATTCACAATCGATTCCTTATACAGTATTCCCCAAAAAATTTTTCTCCAAGTATACAATGTCCACCGTCAGAACTAATAAAACAAATGGCACAGTTTTCGAAAAGAAAGTGAGCATTGAACAGCTGGAAGTTTTAAATATTTGCTTTTTGATCCCCTGTATTTCACCTTTTCTTTTCTTGAAAAATGGTAAACTATAACCACAGTTTGAAGGTTGGGAAACGGGGACTTGGATCCCGAAAGTCTCAGTCTCATTTCCGTCCTAAATTTTCGTCGAGGAAAAGATGACTTCTCTTTCGATAAGCACATCGAACATTTAACGATATCCAGGTTCTTTGTCATACGTCACAATGAACACAGCAGACGAAAGGTGGAGGAAATCTACATCCGTTCTTAATAAAACTCTAACGGCAAGTATTTATTTTGATGTTTAGATGCAAAGGGTAGTTGGAAGAAGTTGGGCTATTATGTCGAAACAACCACCTAAGTGGCCTGGTTACGCATCGGGCTAGGAATGGGTTATTATATCCGGT